AAAAAGCACTAATACTACAGCCACGTTACACGTAACAACCATCACGCATTGTCACTTTCCCGAACTTGAAAAGAAGCCGCCGCGATATGATTATCGGTGCCCACTAATAGAAACACTGGTGAATGACCGGTAACGGTATTTCACCGTTGGCCGGTGCAATGTAATCCAGGAGAGGACGACAGCAGAAGTTCGTGGGACTGGGGGGTCTCGGGGGTTTCGCGGAGTTCGGGAGATTCAGTAGTCCATAGACCGCGAAGTCCTCGAAACTTTACGGTGTTTGAGAGACTCAGGTAATATACAGACTGCGATATCCTTGAAACTTCGCTGTATTTGAGAGATTTAGGTAATCTACAGATTGCGAAACCCCGAAACTTCGCGGTATTTGAGAGAGTCAGGTAATCTATAGACTACAAAATCTTCGAAACTTTGCGGTATTTGAGGGATTCAGTTAATCCATAAACTGATAGCATATTGCTGAATAATGTAAATTATACAAAAGCTCGCATATATTTTCTGGAATATTTCATCTTTGCATAGACAGAATTAATTCTTCATCCAGTACGGACAACGTGAGTAATACGTATCAATTATTACGTAAATGACATCAATTATATTTATAATCTATAGCTAAAACATAGATTATTTTGTTGTTTTGTTTTGTTTTGTTTTTTTTTTTTTTTTCTAACACTTAAAGCTATGATAAAAGTTCAGGGTGAAAGTTCACGGACCATTTGATCATTTTCATTTTTTCTTTTCTCTTTTTGTGACATTAGCAAATATGCAGAGAATTAAAATATTGTTGACACGATGAGTGCAATTAATGAAAGGTTTATTTCAATCAGACCATTTTTCGCTATTAGATTTCATTTGAACTAAAAATTATAATTCATTTAATTCATTCACTTTAACATTTCACATAAATGAGTGATATTTCAACCAATCCTAGCTTTTTCTCCTATCAAAATTATAAAATATTGTATGCATTTTGATTTGCATTGTAAACTTTTTGAAGTTTGTTTATTTCGATTATACTTGATCTCTTCCCTGCAATTTAGTAACTATATAAGAGTCTATTTCGTACTTTACAAACAAATTGTCTATCACTTAAATTGTAATTACGTTATTTCTTTATTTTATTTTTATTTAATTTAATTTTATGTATAATGTTTTTTGTTATTTAATTTTGATTAATTATTTATAATGAAACAGACAATACGGAATTTTGAACATTTTTTATTGTTGATTGTATCTTCAGAAATAAATTACCGAAAGTTAGACTTTAGCTTAGTGATTGTCATAGAAGAATGAAAAATTTCCTTTTGATTCAATCAGTTTGTTTATGATTCTTTTTTTTTTTCTTTCTATTTCATTCCTTTTTCTTCACTCATTTCTAATGATTGCAAATTAAATTTTTAAAATTATTTTTATTTTGCTTTAAACATAAATAAATTAAACTGAATTTGTCGCATTGAAATTATGGAAATGTTAACGAATGTGCCAATAAATTTTAAAAATAATTTTAAAAATTAAAATGATTTCAGAAATACTTCAGAGAACCGATCAACTTTCTAATTTCGATTTTAGATTTTCAGCTCCTGACTACGCATTTTATGCTACAAGTAGATATGAAACTTGGATAAATCACTCGAACTTTTTTTCTATTATTATTAAATTTTGAGTTTTCAAATCTTCATCATTTTTTTTTCTTTATTTTCTTATAAAGTATTCCACTGATGTCATTTAAGAAATAATTCAATCGATTATATTTTGAATAATTTTGAATAAAAACAAACTGCAAAGTCTTTTTTCTCATATAATATAATCAAAGAGTAATGATACTATAATGCTAATACTACGGGAAAATTTCAATTCCAAACTGCTTCTTCTAATCAATGAATTATTTTATAGGATATATCAGGGATGAAAATTCATAATTCCATCTATTTTTTTCTCTTTATCTCTTCTTTTTCCCCTTTTCCATCATCAATTATATTTGTTAGCAATCACATTATCAATTATATTTGTTAGCAGTTATAAAGTTCAATTAATTAATTAACTAATTAATAATAAAAATAACTGAATAATATCTTCTTGCTTCATGTACTTTTTGTATGAAAAAATGTGTAACACACATAAATATGAAATATTTATTTATTCCACACCATTTATTTTCTTGATTAATTAATTAATTAATTAATTAACAATAATAAAGCTAAACAGCTAAAAGATCTCTCTTCTTCATAGATTTTTTTTTCAATGTAATACATAGATAATGAAAATATTTTTTAATCTAATTACTTCATGCGTACACACACACAGACAGACGGACAGACACACAATTTACAGTATGACGAATTGAAGAGAATTTGCATTACTGAATGAATTTTCCGGAATGATATTATTTCCAAAAACAGAAATAAAAGTGACAAAAAAAAGAAGAAAAAAAAATTGGTTGTCGATCGGAGCTATAAATAATCATTTGTCTTAAATTATTATCTATTATTAATTATTATTTGTTATTAATTATCATACTGATATTAGTAATCAGATAATTTGATATAAAATAGATGTTTTTTCCTTGCCTAAATTGTATGATTCGAAAATAATTTAATTTTAAGTTTCAAAATTTTTTAAGATTTTAAAGCATCTAAAATTTTTTAGCAAATATTTACAATTTAGGTTGGAATTTTTATTCATTTTGTCCGATCGACATTACATGTTATGCATGTACATATATGATATCATTTGCTTCTCGAATTGCTTATTTGAAGCGCAATTCTAGTTCATTCACGATAGGAATGATTATTGAAGAAGCTATTATCAACATTATCACTGATAATGTATAATGGACAAATTATTTATCACACAATTTAAAATTTGAATGAAATTTTTATACGATCAAAATTCCAAACATTGTGTTTTATATACCAATAAAAAAAAAAAAAAAAAGTTAAATTCGAGAAAAAAAGAAGCAGTCTTTTAAAACTATTTTTTTATTAATTTTGAATGGTTTTCTTTTTTTTTTTTCCTCTCATCAATCATACTTTTGATTTTTAAACTGTTCTTTAATCTTCGTAATTTTAAACTTTAAACTGTTTTAAAAATAGTTGCATAAATTTTTGAAATTGAAAGAATGAAAGAATAGTTTAAAAGTTTTTCAAAATTATTTCATGAAATGTATCAAACTGTATACCATTTTTCTTCACACATGATACACTTCACCTTTTTTAATATTCCAAAACAGTAAAAAAATAAAATCGAATCCAATTTGCATACTAAACTGGAAATATTTCCGGAAAAAGAATTCAAGTAAAGCTTTCACATTTCGTATGACATTTGAAAATTTAAAATGTAGTCTTGAAAAGATTTTCAAAAACAATTTTGTAGAGAGAAAATAAAGTGCGCAAAATTTTCTTTTAGTTCAGAAAATTGAATTCCAAAAGGAAAAAATTTGCCTGAACAGTACATACTCTTTTGCTTTTGCTCTTTTTTTTTTTTTTGACTGTAAATTGAAAAATTCAGGAAGAATCGGCTATGAATGAAATACCGGAATTTTTTTTTCTTATAAACCGGAACAGGAAATTTCAATCACTACAATATGGTATAAATTCTCTTTTGTTTTTTTTTCTTGTCTATCTAAAACTGTGCGTTCAATTAATGTTTGCTATGTGCTAGGCATGCTGCAAATAAGTGAAATTGATGTGCTGAACTATCCGGAAAAAGTGCCCTCATCCGGAATGATAAAAAGTTTAAAACTAGCAAAAAAAAAAAAAAAAAAAAAAGGAACAGTAATCTAAATGAAAATCTATTGCATCTTGCCAAGAAGCATGCGTTAAAACTTTAATTTTCTTTGCTATTTGAATAGATCAAAAAATTTTGAAATTTGCAAAAAATATTTTAGAATTAAAATTTTTAAACTAATTAAAGCAAAATATTTCATTTTTACGATTTAAAAATAATTTGCATATACTTTTCAAAATATTTCAAATAGCAACTTTTTTTAACAAATAACTCCAATTGGTCTCAATTACCTGAAATAATAAAGCCAAGCCAAATTATTATTATTATTATTTTTATTTTTTGTTTTTGTTTTTTGTTTTTGATATCAATCAATCCAGAAATTAAATTGTTTGAAATAAATGTAAACAATCAAAAAATGCGCATCAAATTATTTTACTTCAACAAAAAAAAAAAAAATCAAACTGATAATATAATGGGAAAAGAAAAAAAATGAAGGCTAATTTTTTTTTTTCATTGTTCTTTTAAATTTCAAAAAAAAAAGGAGAAGAAAACAAAAATAGAATTATGATATCATAAATGAAGCAAAGCAGTGCATAGAAAATTACTTTATGATAAAAGTGCCTCAACCAAATGTGATAAAATTGTCAAATTAGTGTGTGGTGCAAGTGAAATCAACGATGGAAATGAACGAAAATTAGTTTAACACATTTTAATTAATTAATTAATTAACCAACTAATTAACTATTTGATGCATTTTAATTAATTACCGAAAAGGATAAGGGTTGAATGATGACAATTATGATGTTATATATATCTATACGCATATTTATATATGTATATATGAGTAATTAGGCTATTTTTAATCGAAATAATTAGATAAACTACTGATTGATTATTTGATTGATAAAATAATTAAGCAATCAATTCAATTGCTAATTGATTATTTGATGATAAAGTAATTAATTCAATTACTAATTGATTGCTTGATTGATAAAGTAATCAGATAATTGATTTAATTACTAATTAATTATTTGATTGCTAAAGTAATTAGATAATTGATTCAAGTACTAATTGATTATTTGATTGATAAAATTTTAATGAGTAATAATAAAAAGAAATATCATTTGGATTATAAAGAAAATCGGATTATATTGAAATAAGAGTTTGGCACTTTTTTTAACAGCTAAAAAACAATTTAAAAAAAAAAAAAGAGTAAATTTTAATTGAGAATTGTTATCGCTGTTGTTTTCATAAAATTTTTAATTGACAGTATGACTTGAGCGTTGAATATGCGATGCACGTTCCTGAAATTAGGAAAAAAATTCTTTTTTGCTTTTTTAAGTAATAAATAAAATTTCAAATCTTATTTATTATATTGCAATTTTAGTGCAAAAAGAAAAAAAATTGGTTAAGTAAGAAAGAAATCAAATCAATTGTCATATTAAAGTTTCATATTTAAACAATAAAGCAATTAATGAATTGAGTTAATTTCATGTTTCAACAATAAAGTAACTTGAATTAATTTCATATTTAAACAATAAAGTAATTAATTAATTGAGTTAATTTCATATTTAAACAATAAAGTAATTAATTGAGCTATTTTTATATTTAAACAATAGAGTAATTAATTGAATTAATTTCATATTTAAACAATAAAGTAATTAATTGAGCTATTTTCATATTTAAACAACAGAGTAATTAATTGAATTAATTTCATATTTAAACAATAAAGTAATTAATTAGTTGAGTTATTTTCATATTTAAACAGTAAAGTAATTAATTGAGTTAAAAATTAATTTTATTTTTTTTTTCTCTAAATTTGTATTTAATTTTGAATCGATGAATAATAATAATTGAATTTAATAAATTAATTGCTATTTGTATTAATTATAAAATTCAAACAATCACCTCTCCCTCTTTATTAAAGAGAATGGTTTGTACATTAGAGCCAATTCCGAATGATTCTTCCGCATCAAAGACTAACTGATCCGGTGGATTGTATATTCCTTGGCCACGAGCCCAGATCTACAATTGATAAATTTCCGGTTAATGAGATAATTTGAAGTTAATTAATTAGATTTCATACAGAAAATATACATTATATTTATTACCAGATTGCATAAAATATTTCCAAGTTTTAAAAAATTTTTAAATTTCAGATATTATTCTATTCCAGTTATTTCAAGATTTAAATATAATTTACAAGCAAATTGAAATAATTCAATTTCAGGACTGTTGATGATATTATCTTATTAAGCTATACAAAATTATACTTTAAAAAAATTTAAAAAAAAATTTACCTTAACCGATTTTCCAGGTTTTAAAATGAAATCTCTTGGAAAAGTGTATACAATTTCACGTTTACCATCAATTTTTCGTTTCAATCTCCATTCACCAATTGCTTCCTCCTTGGAACGATGTGTATTCTCCAATAAAACATATTTACCATCTGATGCAGCATCCTGAAATTTCATATTTAATCCTGAAATTCTATACCGGAATAATTGATTTCAATTTCAATAATGCAATAATTTATCATTTCTAATCTTGCATAAATTAATAATATTTTAGATTTGAAAATTATCAATGTTAGTTATTGCTTTAAAAGAAATTATTTCAAAATTTTTACAATAAAAAAAAAAAACATTTTTTTTTTCAAATTTCTACAACAATAAAACAATAAAACAATAAGAAAAAAAGACCTGTATAGAAACATTTCCTTTGGCGGAACGTTGAAATGACGTACGACTAGCTGTTTCACCTTTCAGTACACGTATAGTCTCTTTAATAAAATATCATTTTTTTTTTTTAAATAATTAATTTGAAATTTGTTGCATAATTTTGCTTTTATATTTCTATATTTGTAAATCAAATATTCAAATGATCAAATGCTATATTTCAATTTTAATTTAATTTTAAATCAATTTTTTAAATGTAAAATTGTGCGAAAAATTTTTAATTCATCAGAAAAATATAATGAAATAATCAAAAAAAAAAAAAAAAAAAAACATTACAAAAAATTTATAGAAATAGTTAATAAAGATAAGTAAGTAAATTTATAAAAGTAATAAAGATAAGTAAATTTATAAAAGTAATAAAGATGAGTAAGTAAATTTATAAAAGTAGTAAAAAGTAAGTAAATTTATAAAAGTAATAAAGATGAGTAAGTAAATTTATAAAAGTAATAAAGATAAGTAAGTAAATTTATAAAAGTATAAATGCAATAATTAATTATTCGAAAGATTCTTCGTTATATCTCCGGAAAGAAATAAAAAAATTACCAAGCGGAGTTCTGTAAAACATTTTGTTCAGGAATGAAAAAAAAAATTCCGTAAAAAAGATGTACAAAAGTCTGATAAGCACCCGGAAAATAGGTGTTATCAATTAACAATTAAAATTAAAAATGATGAAGAAAGGATCAAAAAAAAAAAAAAAGAGAAAACAAGTTTTAATTTCAAATAATATACTTTAAAAAAATAAAAAGTTCTTTCCTATTATATAATTTCTTCCTTCCTTTCAATTTAGAAACAAAATTCTTTTTTTCGATGTTTTAATTGCTGATGAAATTAAACTTTTAATTTGCAATTTAATGTAATTAATAATTTAAATTTAAAATTATTTTTTTCTATCAAAAATTTTGACAGTAAAAGTAAAAACAGAAATGATTATTTTCACTTTCTTTTCTCTAAAAATTTCAATAAAATTTAGATAAAATATGCAAAACAATGATTGCATAATAAAAATTTTGTTTACAGTATGAAAAAACTAATTTTATTGAAAATAAATAAACATTTTAAGTTTAACTTTTCAAATAAATTTTAAATCTAATATAGTTGTAATATGGTCAAATATTTGATTTTTTTTTTATGGCGGAAATGTCGCAGTAAATGGTAAAAAAAAAAAAAAGAAATAATCATCATCATTTTCCAATGAAATGATAATGAATAATTAAAAATGATATAAAATTCTACTTTTAGTCTTTTAAATTTATTATATACCAAAAATGTTTGTTTTCTAATAAATTCAAAAAAAAAAAAAGTTTCCGGAAAATATATTTTTATTTTTTATTAAATAATGATTTTAACTAAAAATTTTGCTTTTTAATTTTTTATTAAATTTCATTAAAACAAATGATAATTTGAACTATAATAAAAAAAAAAAACTTTTTCAACCAAAATGAAAAATAAAGAAGAAGAAGAAAAAAAAAATGTTATTTTTTAATTTTTGATCAAAAATTTGACAAAATTTATGTATAGTTGACAGTGAACGATACGAAATGAAATGAAATGAAATGATTGATGTTTACCGGTTTCACCAACTTCCGTAAGGCCATGTGTTTTAACAACCTGTTCAACAAGTTGACGTAAACCGGCCCGATTCTCTTCACCTTCAAGCATTTTTCGATAAATTGCTATTTCAGCATCTAAAGTCTAAAATGAAAACGATAATTTGATACAGAAAAAAAAAATTAGCAAATAAAAATTTAAATTTAATTTAAAAATGAAATATTACATTTCATTTATGAAATTTTAACTATTACAGAATAAATTATAAATTAATAATTAAATAATTATTGAGTGAAAATTTTAGATAAAATTAATTTTCTAATAGAAAATTTTTTTTTTGTTTGATAAAAGATTTCAATTTTATAAATAGTATTATTTGAAATTTAAAAATAGAAAATATTTTTTTAATAAGTTTATTGAATTGAAATTAAACATTTAGCATTTTAGACAATATTATCGTTTCAATTTATAAACTTTTCAATTTTATAATTAATTAATCATTCTTATTAGCAATTAATAATGCATCTGATTTTTGATTTTTTTTGATTTTAAATTTTTAATAAAATTTTGTTAAAAAAAAGCAAAATTATTAAAAAAAAGTAAAATTAATGAATTTATTGACAAACTTGTTTGGTGTCTAAAAGCATTTGCAATTCCATCATTAATGCTTGACATTCTTCCCGCATTTTCCGGATTTGGGCATCTCGATCATTCAGGGCAGCTTCATAGGATCGTTGATCATCTTCCAATTGATAATTCAATTCTTGCATTTGCTTCTCTAGCAGTGAATTCTAAAATTTAAATCTTATTTATTTTTTTTTTCATCAAACATAACTTATCTTATATTAGTATAAATATTATTTTAAAATTTTTTTTTAAAAAACAAAAATAAAAAGAAAAACTTTGCAAAAAAACACTGATTAAAACGTAGAATAATTATAAAATTTAATTAAATGAATGCATTTCATATGAGATTTTAATTAAAAATAAAAGCATTTTATTTTACTATCGCAAAATTTTTCAGTATTACTTTAAATTTCAAATATTTAATTTCCTAATAATGTTTATATACATTTTGAAAGTTTTTTGTATGAAATTTAAAAAAAAAAATTTGATGAATAATAAAACAATGCTTTTTTAAATTTTTTTTTTTTTTTTGAAATTTAATTTATTTCCTAGTTAGAGCAACAGAAATTCATTCGCTCTTTTCTTTTTTTCGTTTCTTCCAAATAAAACATAAATATATAATATTTTTTTTTTATCTTCCAAGAAAAGATCAAAAATTAGTTTTTAGCAAAAAAAAAATTTATCATTTCAAAAATTTTAATTAACTTTTTAAAAAATTAAAAAAAAAAATGAAAGAATTTAAAAAAGCAGAAATACAGTAGTACCAACACGTCCTTCAAGATCAGCTAATTTTCCGCGTAGCTCGGAAAGTTGCACACGAAGTCGCTTCACCTCCTCTTTAGCATAACCTTGTTCCAAGTTTTGTCTTGTTGATTGAGTTTGAATTTCTTGTACTTTTAATTTATACCATGATTCCATATCTGTTCGATTCATATTGCATATCTATTAATGCAAAAAAAAAAAGTTTAATTTAATTTAATTAATTCATATTTTTAAATTTTAATAAAATGTAAAATTTAATAAAATGATTTCCTTTTATTTTATTACAGCTAGCAAATATTTTTTTTTTTAATTAGTTGATTTAATTAATTGATATTTTTAATTTTTAATAAAATGTAAAATTTAACAAAATGATTTTTTTCATTTTGTTATAGCTAGCAAATATGTTAATTAATTCATATTTTTAAAATTTAATAAAATGTAAAATTTAAGAAAATAACTTTTTATTTTATTACAGCTGGCAAAAATTTTTTTTTGCTTAAACAAAAAATTTTTTTTGTTTAAATTTAAAATAAAGAAAGATAAAAAAATTTTTGAACTTGATCATATTCAGCACGAATATCACGAATTGCAGATGAAAGTTCATTCTTGAAATATTCCCGGTTTTCCGGTGTTGTATCACGTGCAGCCATTGCTTGCAACTCATTAATTTCCTGATCATGCACACGACGCATGAAATCAATTTCTTCCAGTAATGTTTGCACCTGATTTTGAAAATCGATCCGATTAAGCGTTTCCTGATCCAAATCCTAAAAAAAAAAATAATTTATTTTCGAATTGATTTCATTTTCCGATTTCTAATTTTTGCATGTTTAATCAATAGCTATTTATTTTCATTTAACTATTTCATATGGATTTTTTTTTTTTTTTGGATTTATTAATAAATTTTTTGTAAAAATTTAAAATTAATTAACCGAAACATAATAATATGCAAAATCGTATAATTATATTATACAATTTAAAAAAAAAAGTTTATTTTTTGCATTTAAATCATAAAATATGCAATAGCATATCACAAAGAGAGAAATTTAAATCAATTTCAAAAGTTTCAACAAAAATACAATTTTATATAAATTTAAATTAACTTCAAAATTTTAAATAAAAGTATTTTTAGAGAAATTTAAAACTTAACTTCAAAAGTATAAACAAAAATACTTTTAGTAACTTACTGCTCTTGCTTTGTTGAGTTCATTAACAAAATGCAAGTTATCTCGTTTGATACGGCTTACTTCTTCTTCCAAACTACTGACCCGACGTCGTAAAAGGTTAATTTCAGCTTCCAGACCAGATAATTTTACCTATATTATTATTTCTTGAAAATAGTAATCACTGATTATCAATGATAACTTAAAAAGTAGGAATAACAAATCAGTGATAACAACTAATGGATTATTGGAGATGATAATTGATAACAATCATACAATAATCAATCACTACAGCTTAAATAAACTGATAGAATAAACACAAAAATTTGCAAAAAAAAAAAGAAGTGAACAATGTGTATTGCTATGTTATAGTAATAAGCATAAATCCGGAAAACCGGAACTCACCAACAATTCATCAATGCATTTTCGATCAGCTTGATGTGCTCGAAGTGCATCATCATATCTGTAAAATAAAAAAAAGTAGCTTTTTTTTTTTTCGTTTGATAACGAAAATAACACTAACCGTTTTTTGTATTCCGTTAAGTCATCCATCAATTTCCGAATTCGTTTTTCTAAATCTTCGCGTTCGCTATTCGTATCGTTTATTATTTTCCGTGCCTCCTAAATGATAAAAAAAAAAAATTAGGTAAGAAAAATAAGAAACCGATAAATAATTCAAAATTAAATTTTTGTTGCAAAAAAAAAGAAGCGAAAAATTATTTTATAATTAATTTGAAAAGTAAATAATAAAAGATTAACAATGAATAAACTTATTAAATTATATTACCCATAATTTAAACACTTTTTTTTCAATTAATATTGATAATATTTTAATGTTTAAAATTGAAAACGAATAATTTAGTAAAGATAATTTCCCTAAAGAAAAATAAATAAATAAATAAATAAATTTTTAAGTTTTATTTAAAATTTTATACCTGTAGTTCACCTTCATACATCGCACGAACACTTACAGAATCTTTACCCCAACGACCACGTAGTAAATTTAGATCAGCAGCTAATTTACGGTTTTGTGCTTCAAGAAAGCGTACCTGAAAGTTAGCCAAATTTTACTGTTTACAATTTTTTATTTGTTTGTTTACTTTTTTTGCTAACTTTTATTGATTAATTGTTTATTTGACTAATTATTTATTTTTTTTATTTACTCACTTCCGTGTTGTTTTATCAGGAAAAGAAAACCTTTTCTATGTAGGAAGCAAGACGATCATTTAAATCGCTCATTTCCTTTTTTTCCCGTTCACGTGTATCACGTATTGCTGATGCAGCATTTTGTCCAAATGGTGACATACCACTACTATGCAATGATGATGAACCGATTTCCGTTACGGTTTTCAGGATTCTACCACCGGTTGCTTCAAATTATAGAAATAGTTTTTGAAATTTTTTTTTTTCAAAATTATATTATTCACTTAAAAAATGACAAATTCCAAAATTCTAAATTCTTATTTCGATACTTATCCGACAAGTAAATACAATATACGTTTTAAAGTATTCATAAAATATGGTAATAAATTTTTGAATTAATTTTCAAAATCATAAAATGTTTAAAATTTACACACACAAAAAAAAAGCTTCAAAGTAAGATGATTGAATTGTTATACTCAGAGTTTAATAATTAAAGTTAAAAATTAAATTAATCAAAATTGAAATGAAATTTACCTGTTGTCATACCATAAGTTGGACTAGATATTGATCCAACAGTTCGACTAAAAACTGGCCTAGCAGAAATTGTACTTTTATAATCCGAAATTGAAATTTCTTCCATATTACTGAAAAATGTTTGAATTTCAATCAATAAAATGCATTTTAATACAGTTAAAATTTACTTTATACATATTTGTTTGATTATTAAATTAATAGAATAATGAAATTTGCATAAGTTTATTTATGCAAAACTTATTAGCTTTATCAAATTTGATAAAGTAACATTAAACTATTTAAATTTAAACAAAACATATTCTCTAATCTAACATATTGCTACTTAAATCCGAATGAATCATTGCATATCAATTGACGTAATTCACGTAATTCACGCATACACTTTAACGTGTTATAATGATGAAATACGTGAATGTAAAGCAAAATTATGCAAAAAAAAATATTAATTCAAATTCAATTAAATTGAAAATTTTATTTGAGAGAAAAAAAAAGAAATTAAATAAAATAAAATTAAGCAAAAAAAAATTGAATTTAAATTAGTTAAAGTTAAATTTAACCATTAAAATCAATATGTTGTGACAATTAAATTTTTGCTTTTGCAATCGATATGACACTCCGCCAAAATGCTATTTGCATGTTAGATAATACTAGCCAAACTAATGAAATAGGTAAACAATTGTTTTTGCATGTTGCAAAAACTTACTAAAATCTTTTTCCCTGTTTAATTTACCCGAATTTATTTGAATGTTTAACTTACCCAAATTTATTTGAATACCCATTTTAACTATTAAATATATATATATATATATATATATATTATATTCTGCGATAATATACCTTAATATAACACTTACTACTTTACTTATTACTTCAGTGCTATTCAAATATTTTTAGTATTACTATTTGTTTGTTTATCAAAAGAAAAAAAAATGATAAAAATAAATAATTATATTCCTATCTTCAACATAAATTTGTAAAACTTTTTTTTTTTAAAAAAATTTCCTTCCTTTTCATTTCTTTTTTCTTTTAGTCAACGATAAAGAAAAGAGAAAAAAAGGATCGCTTTTTTTTATTTGAGAATTTATAAAATTGCAAATATAAATAAGCTTAAAAAGCAGTACAAAACTTTTCTTCATTCTCGAATGATATCTCGATGATTACCAAAATATCATTCACTGATACGGTTGGTGACACTAATTATGTCACACAAACGGATCTTTTTATTATTTGAGAATTTTGTAAATATAAATAAGCTTTAAAAAGTTGTAAATATAAATAAGTTTAAAAAACATTACAAAAATTTTTCTCATTCTCGAATGATATCTCGATGATTATCAAACTACATTCATTAATACAGTTTGGTGACACTATTCATGTCACACATTTGTATATACTTACAATAATTTGTCACTTACTAGAATGTTAATTAATGCAATTGATAATAGAATATGAATTATACTGAATACTTATAAATAAATGATATATTTATTAAATGAATGAATGAAAAGAATTGATGAAAGGTGGAAGAGTAAAGATAAGAGCTTATCATATTTACTGATAATATAACAGAGAATTGATAATAATCATATGAAGCAGAGAATGTAATCAACAACAGTTGTGTGTGTTATGAACAAATTCCACAAGTAATTCAAAAAAGGGATGAAAATTTAGGAAAGAGATGGGTGAAAAAAGAAAAAAAAAAAGAATGGAAAAAAGATTTCCATCTCTCTCTCTCTCTCTCTCCCTCTCTCTTTTTCCAAAATTTAAAGGAAAAAAAGAGAGAGAGAGAGAGAGAATTCAAATTAAATAAATTTGTCATTTCAAGAATAACAAGAAATAATTCATTACATTTATTTGTAATCATTTTAATATATATATATTTATAAGAGAATTCATTTCAGTAACTAATTAACTAAACATTAAAAGTAGCAAAATTAATTAGTTAACAATTTAATTCAATTCATAGTTATTTTTTTAAAAAAAAAAATTAAAAATTTTTCTTCAAAAATAACTTAGAAAAAAATAAAAAGACAGAATCAATACAATCAATAAGAAAAAAAAAAAAGATTATTTAAAAATTATACATATATGTGCTCAACAGCTATTAAAAAAAAGAAAAAAAAAGTCAATTTAATGGAAAATCTTAGAAAATAGATGGAAAAAAAAAAGATTTGAAAGTGCAAATGTTTATTTTGTTAAAAAGCTAAATTTGATGGAATAATTTAATTTATTTGAAATGAATTGAAAATTTACTTAAATTCAATCTATTAAATTTTTTCATTATCATTTCATTATGTTTGTCGCTTTTTCTTTCTTTTTTTCTTTTGTCAAATATTAATGCAAAAAAATTTGTAAATAAATTTTAGAACAAAATAATGTGACAAATTTCAGGATGATATTAGATAACAATTTTAGTAATAATAATAAAAAATATTGTCAAAGACTGTTTTTTTTTTCTTTTCCAACTTTTTGTAATTTTTCTAGCATTCTTAGCTTTTAATTTTGCTTATTTTTTTTCTATTAATTGTTTCAAAATTTTAATTTTAACTAATCAAAACAAAATAACTTGCATAAACTGTAAAAAAAAAAAGAAAAGAAACATTAATTGTATATAAATATGATTACAGTGTGAACAAAAATTTAATGTAAAAATTATTTTTGCATAATGTCCCCAATATGTTGTTGTCCTCAAATTTGTCAACAATAATATCCTTTTTTTTTTTTCTTTTTTGAAATAAATTAAAAAATACGATACGATTCAGTGATTACAGATGAAATGGAATTATTCTATTGTAGCAATATTATTCAGTAATTGAAAGGAAATAAAATAGAAGTAAACAACAACAAAAAAAAAAAAAAAATGTGTGAATTGAAATGACCTAAATATATGAATGAAATGTGATAAAGGTTAAACATTAAAAAAAGAAAATTCTTTCAATTTACTGATCAAAGAATTGAGTGATTAGAAGTAAGTATAAATAGAGTTTGATTAGAATTAATTTACTTAAATAATAAAATTATTTCATTCATTAACTAATGAAACAGCATGATTAATTCATATTGATTACTAAACTCTGATCGGATAACTAATTCAGTGAGAACTAACAGATCGGATGACTAATTCAGTGAGAACTAACTGATCGGATGACTAATTCAGTGAGACTTGATCGGATGACTAATTCAGTGGGAACTAACTGATCGGATGACTAATTCAGTGAGACTTGATCGGATGACTAATTCAGTGGGAACTAACTGATCGGATGACTAATTCAGTGAGACTTGATCGGATGACTAATTCAGTGGGAACTAACTGATCGGATGACTAATTCAGTGAGACTTGATCGGATGACTAATTCAGTGGGAACTAACTGATCGGATGACTAATTCAGTGAGACTTGATCGGATGACTAATTCAGTGGGAACTAACTGATCGGATGACTAATTCAGTGAGACTTGATCGGATGACTAATTCAGTGGGAACTAACTGATCGGATGACTAATTCAGTGAGACTTGATCGGATGACTAATTCAGTGAGACTTGATCGGATGACTAATTCAGTGAGACTTGATCGGATGACTAATTCAGTGAGACTTGATCGGATGACTAATTCAGTGAGACTTGATCGGATGACTAATTCAGTGAGACTTGATCGGATGACTAATTCAGTGAGACTTGATCGGATGACTAATTCAGTGAGACTTGATCGGATGACTAATTCAGTGAGACTTGATCGGATGACTAATTCAGTGAGACTTGATCGGATGACTAATTCAGTGAGACTTGATCGGATGACTAATTCAGTGAGACTTGATCGGATGATTAACGCATAATACATCAACGAGCTCTTATATAAACAAACATTATTGTTTCAAACTAGTTCGTAAAACAAAATTTCAAAATGTTTCAATTTATACATATATATGTGTGTATGTATGTATGTGTGTATGTGTGTGTATGTGTGTGTATGTCTGTTTGTCGGTCTATCTGTCTGTCTGTGCACACATGTAGTAATGGGCAAAGTGAGGCTAGCTAATTCATTGTGTTCTTTTAAAAATGAAAAAAGTGGAAGTTCAATTTACATATTGTTTCAAACTATTGTGTATGTGTGTGTGTGTGTATGTGTGTGTGTGTGTGTGTGTGTGTGTGTGTGTATGTGTGTGTGTGTGTATGTGTGTGTATGTGTGTATGTGTGTGTATGTGTGTATGTGTGTGTGTGTGTGTGTGTGTGTTCGTCTGTCTGTCAGTGGTCTGTCCGTCTGTCTGTTCCAATGATTGAATTATTTTGGTTGAAAATTGTTTATTTTGATTATTTTCAATTGTTTATTGATTCATTTCTAGCACAGTAATAACACGTTGCAACAGCGTTTATCAACCGGAAAATAAAAAAGGAACGGAATGGAATGCTGTTCAAGTGATAAACGGAAATAAGCTTAAATTGAAGCAAACAAACAAATTTCTCAGCTAGGTTTTTTCCTTTTTTCCTTTTTTTTGCTTTTTTTTTCCGGAAAAAAAATATATTTAAGTTATAGAATTCTGCTCACTCTCCCTCTCTCTCTCTCTTTTTTCTCTTTCTCTTTCTCTCTCTCACTCTCACTCTCTCTATATATTTATTTTTTCTTTTTTTCTACAACATTGTTAATTTCAACCTTTTCTTAAAAATTTATTTATTCTATAATATATAATTTTTTTTTTCTTTTTCAACAAATTCAATTCATATCGTTGCATTTCATTCAGCATATTTCGCTTAATTTCTAATCGTCTGTTTTCTCATCTTTTCCTTATCTATTTTACAATTCTGTTTCTTTCTATTTCAAAGACAAAAAATAAAAGTTAAAAAAAAAAATAAAAAAACCAAATCAAAATTTTTATGATTAATTTACATTTTCAAAATAATTGCTTCTTCCAAATATTTTTAGAATAATTCCATTCTCTCTCTTTCTTTTCCTTTCTTTCTTTTCCTCTCTTTCCTTCTTTTCCAAAAAAAAGTTTACTTATATAGCATACAAAGTTTACTTTTTCTTCCCATTTCTCCTTCCTCTCTTCAATCATCATTTTCTCTTTCCTATTTGCTTTTCTTTTTTTCTTTTCCTCTCCTAATCAATAATTCTCGAATACACACAATAACAACTATTTAGTAACTTTCTTGTTTTCTCAATGATTTTCTTTTTTTTTTTTTTAATTTTAAATTCCAAAATTAATTTAAAATGTAAAAATGTGTTGTGATAAAATTAGCATAAAATAAATTAGCACAAAGTTCATTTTTTTTTTTTTTATCAGAAAACAAAACAAATTTTGTCTTTTTCCTCTAATTTTCTCTTTAAATTTATAATTTAATTACAAATTTCATTTGCACACAATGAAAAATTAATTAAATTCTAAAATTAAAATTAAATTCTTGTGAAAAAATTTTCATTAGTTTTATTTTCCATTATTTTATAGCTTTCTTTTCGAAGAAGAAAAAATAAAAAAAAAAAAAGAAAGAACAAAATCATTTCCATTATTTCATCCAACATCTAATATATTTAGTCTATCTCGAGAATATTTCAGTATTTTTTAAAAAATTTTTTCAATTTTAAATTTTATCATTCATTTTAAAAATTATTATCAATATTGATAAATGCAAAAAAAAAGGAAAAGAAAGAGTTAAACAATTGAAATAAATAAATAAATAAATAAATAATGGATGATAACATAGCTCATTTTGATGAGTCATTTAGCTAATTAACAACAGATGAATCAATAAGCAAACAGAAAAAGGTTAGAATAAAAATTTTTTTTTTCTGGAATATTTGTCATAAAAGTTTTTTTTTTTCAAAATTGTTATTTGCACCATCATATCGAATTTCATAGAAAAAGAAATGAAAATAAAATTTGAGAAAAGAAAAAGGGAAAAAAAAAGGGTTAAATAACCGGATATTGGAGCAATTAAATAACCGGATATTTAATAATGCAAAGAGATTACTCGAATATATGAGTTACATTCAGGAAATTCAATGATATATAAATATATTTGGAATAGTTCAAATAGCAGTTGTAATATAGCAAATTAAAATTTTCAACAAAAATTAAAATTTTTTTTTTTTGTCAGATTTGCTAAAGTTTAACAAATTTCGATTTTTTTTTTTTGTTTTTATTTTTTACAAAAGATGGCATTTTTTGAAATGTTTTATGAATTGTATAATTAAAAAAAAATTTTTTTTTCCCTCTCATAAATAAATATATTAACATTGATAAACTTAAAATTTTTTACAAAGAAAAAATTTTAGCCATTCTAATAAAATAATTTTATTTTTTGAAATTGATAAAAAGTAAAAAAAAAAGTTAGAAATAAAAAATAGTGAAATGTTAAAAAGTTAAAAGAAGCTAGCATCTGGAAGAATTGACAATTTAAACAATTCGTCAATTTTAATATTCAAAGATTAGAACAAAGTAAAGAAATACAAAGAGATATTTAATTACTTTGTTTTTTTTTTTTTGAAATTTATTAAGTACATTAGGAATTTCTTCTGCCCAACCCGTGCCCATCTTTTTTCACCCGTATTTACCCACAACGGATGTATAGATTCTGAGTTATTATATCAAAGAGTTTCTTTTTTTTTTTTTCATTGCTTTTTGTTTCTTTCAAAAATTTTCAGTTTTTCATATATTACTATTAATTGATAAATATTCAATTATGCAAAAGTTTAATTTTAAAACAATCTTTTATCTTTTTTTTAAAATCTTTTTTAAAAAAAAACAAATAATTTTGTTACTATATTGATTTTTTTAATAAAAAAAAGTCGAGATTTGTAAACTATTACAATGATTCCTTTATTGCTTAAATTTTGAATGATTTTTTTTTTCTTTTAATTTTCTTTTATACAGAACTATTTCTATACGATAGTAATATCAACAAAAATGTCATGGGAAAAATTTTAAGGGTAAGTTTATGTTACTTAAATAATAGATTTCTGTTGAAACGATATTGAGAATGAATATTATTTAAATATTCGAAATAGTGAAATGTTATAAGAATAAGAAAACAATTGAAAAGATATCTGTTGAGAGAAAAAAATGGAATGTTGATGATTCAATAAAGGTTTGAAAATGCAGAATATGGATATTATTTAAATATCGAATACTGAAATATTTTAGAAATAATGAATGGATGACTGAAAAGATGAATGTCGGCTAAGAAAAATACAAAATGCTAATATCAAAATATTTGTATTGAAAAACAGATTAGATCTCTTATAATTTATGCAAAATATTGATTTATAAAATATTAAATAATCATATCTGAATGATATTAGAGTTCCATATATTAAATAATAATAATAACAATAATAATAATAAATAAATAAATAAATACATATATTATGTTATTTAATTAAGATCTAAGAAAATGCTTTTTGCATTTTGGCAAACTGAGCTGAATGCATAGAGATGAAAAATGATATAATATTTGCTGATCATACTGCTAATAAATAAAAGCGAAATTGGAAAAAGATCATTGGAATAATCGTATCAGTAAGCTAATCGATGATACAAATAAAGTATTAGTGCAATTTAAGTATGAGTGAAATTTGATAATGTGATGAACGATAATAATAAAAACAAAAATAATAATCATCAACGATGATAACAACAATGAATATAGCATTAGATTAAAGCTAAAAGTGATTTGTTGAGAAAAATAGTAAGACAGCTATGTAAACTTTAAAAAAACTCAATTATTTGAAGTGAAGTAATAACATTTCTAACATTATTCAGCCATATCTTTTTAGTTTTCCTCTTCACACACACACTAATGCATATTCGATTAATTATGAATTATATAATTAATTATTTGATTATATGATTAATTATATGAATTAGATGATTATTGTATATGATTAATTATATGAATTAGATGATTATTGTATATGATTAATTATATGAATTAGATGATTATTATATAAATGAATAAGAAACAAAGAAACAAATAAAAATCAACTAAATAATATATACGTAGAAAAGATTGGTTAGATGTAAAAAAAAAGTCAATATTTTTAAAAAACTTCACTAATTTTATAATAATTTGTAATTATTCAGAAATCAAAACAATAATTTAAATATACATATGACTTATTAATTCTAAACTACACAATATGATAAAATAAACTTGGATGTAAGATGAATTATTGAGATGCGGTGTACTGTATGATACAGTATGATAAATTCATTACACCGTAATAGATATCTACAGTGTGATAGAAATTTGGGATATATATATATATGTCTTTACTGTCAAATAAAGCTTGAATATATAAAATTATTCGTCAAGAATGGAAAGAATTTTTGTGAAAGAGCACTTTTTACCATAATTTTCTAATAAACCTTTAAGTTTTCTAAGATTAGAAAAATAAAGGTTCGTTTATTCAACATCAATATTTATCTTTAAAGTTTCTAAAAGAAGGAACGACCTGTTGACATAATTACTTATCTCTAAAGTGAAAAAATACCTGAAGAAAAGGTTGATTGCAGATAGTTATTCATTTTCCTCCTTTCCATTTCCCTACCCCTCAAACCTGTTTATTTTCATCTTACCGTATCCATATGCAAAAGTATAAGTTTTAAAATTAGTTTCTCTTGAGTTTTTCTTAAGATTTTGAACAAAAGTATATTTTATTGAAAATGTTAAAAATTTTAAGAGAAAAAATTTAGCTAACAAAATTGTAAACTTAGTAAATAAACATTTACAGAAGCAAATTTCACTTATGTAAAAATCGCATAAACATAAAATTTATCTTATTGAACATTTAATCTTAATTGCAACAAATGTGGCTATTTTCTTTTTTTCGTTAAAGGA